TATATTTATTGTTTTTTGTACTATGTCAAGAAATCCTTGCTTGACCCAGTGTTGCAAAGATATTCTCTTATGTTTTCTTCTAGGGCACTTTTAGTTTTAGGGGTTTTTTTTAGTTTTAGGGTTTTTTTTTTCCTTTTTTAAAAATTGAAATATAACTACATGGCGCCTGGGTGGCTCGGTTGGTTTAAGTGTCTGCCTTCAGCTCAGGTCATGATCCCAGGGTCCTGGGATCAAGCCCTGCATCGGGCTCCCTGCTCAGCGGGGAGTCTGCTTGTCCCTCTCCCTCTGCCCCTCACCCCCACTCATGCTCTCTCTCTCTCTCTGCTCTCTCTCTCAAATGAATAAGTAAAATCTTTAAAAAAGATAAAATAGAAATATAACTAACATAAAATATCATGTTAGTTTCAGGTATGCAGTCTTGATTCAATAATTCTATACCTTAGTCGGTGCTCAGTACAGTAAGTGTAGTCACCATTATTACAGTATCATTGACTATATTTCCTCTGCTGTACTTTTCATCTCATGACTTGTTTATTTTATAACTGTAAGTTTGTACCTCCTAATCCCCTTTATCTATTTCACCCATCTCCCTTCTCATCTCCCTTCTGGCAACCACCAGTTTGTTCTCTGTATTTAAGAGTCTGTTTTTTTGTTTGTTCTTTTGTCTTGTTTTTTAGATTCCACATATAAGTGAAGTCATATGGTATTTGTATTCTCTGTCTGACTTATTTTACTTTCCATAATACCCTCTAGGTCCATCCATGTTGTCACAGATGGCAAGATCTCACTCTTTCTTATGGCTGAGTAATATGTCATTTTATATACCACATCTTCTTTATCCATTCATCTATCGATGGACACTTGGATTGCTTCCATATCTTGGCCCTTGTAAATAATGCTGCAGTGAACAAAGGAGCATATGTCTTTTTGAATTAGTGATTTCATTTTCTTTGGGTAAATACCCAGTAGTGGAATTGCTGGATCATATTTTTAATTTTTTGAGGAGCCTCCACATTATTTTTCCCAGTGGCTGCACCAATTTACATTCCCACCAACAGTACACAAGGATTCCTGTTTCTCCACATCCTCACCACTTGTTATTTCTTTTTTATTCTAGCCATTCTGGAAGGTATAAGGTGATATCTCACTGTGGTTTTGATTTGCATTTCCCTGATGATCGGTGATGTTGAGCATCTTTTCATGGATGTCTTTTTGGGGAAGAATTTTTTTTTAAAATATTTTATTTATTTATTTATTTGAGAGAGAGAATGAGATAGAGATAGCATGAGAGGGGGGAGGGTCAGAGGGAGAAGCAGACTCCCTGCTGAGCAGGGAGCCCGATGCGGGACTCGATCTCGGGACTCCAGGATCATGACCTGAGCTGAAGGCAGTCACTTAACCAACTGAGCCACCCAGGCGCTCAGAAGAATTTCTATTCTGGTCTTCTGCCTATTGATGAATCAGATTATTTGGTGGGGTTTTTTTGGAATTGAGTTTTATAACTTCTTTATGTATTTTGGATATTAACACCTTATTGGATATATCATTTGCAAATATCTTCTCACATTCACTAGGCTGCCTTTTTGTTTTGTTGATGGTTTCCTTTGCTGTGCATAAGCTTTTTATTTTGGTGTAGTCCCAATAGTTTGTTTGCTTTTGTTTCCCTTGCCTGAGGAGACGTATCTACAAGAAATGTTGCTTAGACTGATGTCAAAGAGATTATTGCCTATGTTTTCTTCTAGGAGTTTTATGGTTTCAGGTCCCACATTTAAGTCTTTAATCCATTTCGAATTTATTTTTGTGTATGGTGTAAGAAGGTGGCCCAGTTTCATTGTTTTGCATGTAGTTGTCCAGTTCTCTCAACACCATTTATTGAAAAGATTTTCTTTTCTCCACTGTATATTTTTATCCCTTTTGTTGTAAATTAATTGACCATATGGGGTGGTCTAATTTATGGGCTCTCTCTTCTGTTCAGTTGATTTAAAGTGTCTGCTTTTATGCTAACATCATACTGTTTTGATTGTTACAGCTTTGTAATACAGTTTGAAATCTAGGTTGTGATACCTCCAGCTTTGTTCTTTCTGAAGGTTGCTTTGGCTACTTAGGGTCTTTTGTGGTTCCATAAGTATTTTAGGTTTGTTCTATTTCTCTGAAAAATGCCATTGGAATTTTGACAGGGATTGCAGTGAATCCATAGATTGCTTTTGGTAATGTAATATTTGGTAATTTGGTAATATCTTAACAATATTAATTCTTCCTATCCATGAGCACAGAGTATCTTTCTATTTACTTGTCTTATTTAGTTTCTTTCATCAATGTGTTATAATTTTCAATGTATAGTTCTTTTACCTCCTTGGGTAATTTATTCCTAGGTATTTTTCTTTTTCTTTTTTTTTAACATAGGTATTTTTCTTAAAGCAGTTATAAATGGGATTGTTTTCTTAATTTATTTTTCTGGTAATTCATTATTAGTGTATAGAAACAACAGATTTTTGTATATTGATTTTTGTGTCCTGCGACTTTATTGAATTCATTTTTTAGTTCTAACAGATTTTTTGGTGGAGTCTTTAGGGTTTTCTGTATATAATATGATGTCATCTGCAAATAGTGACAGTTTTCCATCTTCCTTTTCGATTTGGATGCCTTTTATTTCTTTTTCTTGCCTAATTGCTCTGGCTAGGACTTCCAAAACTCTTGAATAAAAGTGGCAAGAGTGGGCATCTTTGTCTTGTTTCTGATCTTAGAAAAGCTTTCTGCTTTCCACTGTTGATTATGATGTTAGCTGTGTGCTTGTCATATATGGTTTTTATTGTGTTGAGATACCATTTCTCTATGCCTGCTTTGCTGAGAGTTTTTATCATAAATGGATGTTGAACTTTGTTAAATGCTTTTTCTGCATCTATTGAGATGATAATATGATTTTTATCCTTTATTTTGTTAATGTGGTGTGTCACATTGATTGATTTACAGATGTTGAACCATCCTTATAGCACTGGAATCCCATTTGATCAATTTGTAGGATTCTTTTAATGTATTGTGGAATTCATTTTGGTAATATTTTGTTGAGGATTTTTGCATCTGTATTCATCAGGGATATTTAGCTGTAATTTTCTTGTCTTGTGGTGTGTCCTTGTCTGGTTTTGGTATCAGGGTAATTTTGACCTTGTTAGATGTATTTCAAAGTGTTCCCTTCTTTTCTGTTTTTTGGAAGAGTTTGAGAAGGATTGGTATTCTTCTTTGAATGGCGGAATTCTTAGTGAAGCTGTTTGATTCTGGACTTTTCTTTGTTGGGAGGTTTTTGATTACTGATTCGGTCTCCTTATTAGTATTCAGTCTGTTTAGATTTTCTATTTTTTCATGATTCAGTCTTGGTAGGTTGTGTGTTTCTAGGAATTTATCCATTTCTTCTGGGTCATCCAGTTTGTTCGCATATAATTGTTCATAGTAATCTAGTTGGTTATTTTTATAGTTCTCCTCAGTTGAACTATCCTATTGTTCTTTCACTGTGAACATATTTTTCTTTATGTTCTTGAGCATACTTATAGATAGCTGGTTTAAAATCATTTACTGCTAATTCTGGCATTTAAATCAGTTCAGGGTCAGTCTCTGATCGCATTTCCTCTTGAACTTCTTTTATTTCTCTCGATACCTTTCTGTTTCTATGTTGATTATTTTCAACTGTATCTTGGTTGTTGTGAATCATATATTATAGACATTTTGAGTTCTGTTTAGTTCCCCTGAAGATCGCTGATTTTTTTTCATTTGGTTTAGCAAGCATTTAATTTGGCTGGACTCATATTGGCTACTGTCTCCTCTATGGTGTGTGGTAACTCAAATTTAGCTAATTTATTTACTCAACCAGAGATTAGGAAGAGTTAACACATAGATCTCAGGCACCTTTTTCTGTGTGAATTCTCCCTTTTCTTTCTGGTGGTCATGATGACTGCAAAACTCTCCTTTGATTCTTCAAGTTCAGTTAAGACTGAAGTTTTTCTAGTGGAATTGCAGTTACCCTGCATGGCAGTGACTAGGTCTTTTTACAGGCTAAAGGCTGTAAACTTGGTAAACCCATCCAGTGCCATCCCTTCTTCTAATTGTCAGTTCTCTTCCAGTAAATACCTGATTTTTGTTACTCTTCAGTATCTCCAGATAGTTTTTTTTAAAATATTTTGTTCAGAGTGTAGTTGTTATCTATGTGAAAGTTGGTCTGATAAAATTAATTCAGTCATACTGGAACTTGATTATTGTTAATTTTTGTATGTGGTATAAGGTATGGGTTAAGGTTTGTTTTTTCCTCCAAAACTTATATCCATTGTTCCAGCACAATTTTTTAAAAAGACTTTTCTTTTCCCCATTGAATTACTTTGGTACATTGGTCAAAAAACAGTTGTCCATATGTGTGTGGTTCTGTTTCCAGACTCTCTATTCTGCTCCACTGATATATCTATCTGTACTTAGATCAGTACCACACTGAAGTATCTGAAGTATCATAGCTTTATAGTAAGACTTATCATTACGTATAAATCCTCAACACTGTTCCTTGCTTTGGCTATTCTAGATCCTTTGCATAGCCATATCCACTTTAACATTTCTTGCCAGTTTTTACCAGAAAGTCGACAAATAATTGGTTGAACAAGTAGAAGACATTTTCTATGGTGATAGAAAATTTCAACAACACTCAGCCAACTTGATTTATATATTATAGAATACTATAGCCATCAACAGCTGAATATACATTCTTTTCCAGGGACACATGAAACATTCTTCTGGATAGACCATATGTTGAAATCGTACAGAGTATATTTTCTCACCACTACAGAATTAAATTAGAAATGAGCAATAAAAAAAGGCATGAAGAGAAAATGGTCATATTTGTGAAGAATTAATTAGAGCAAGAGTAGAGGGAGCTATGTAAAGTTAAAAAAAAAAGTACGCATGCTTCCTTCTAGAAGTTCTAGAACACAGGCAGATGGAGCCTTAGCTGCTGCCTCGGTCCTCAGTGCCACTGCCGCCCACCACCAGCCAGCATATCCTCTGCTCACTTCAACCAGGGCCCTGCCTGTGGGTTGTCTGTTGAGGTTGAGAACAAGCTGGCCCAAAAGTGTGACCACGAGCGGGAGCAGGAGCTTCGAGAATGGATCGAGGGGGTGACAGGGCACTGCATCAGCCACAATTTCATGGGTGGCCTCAAAGATGGCATCATTCTTTGCAAGTTCATCAGTAAGTTCCAGCCAGGCCCCATGAAGCAAGTCGGTGAGTCAACCCAAAATTGGCACCAGCTAGAAAATATTGGCAACTGCATCAAGGCCATCACCAAGTATGGGGTAAAGTCCCATGACATTTTTGAGGCCAACGACCTGGTTGAGAAAACCAACCACACCCAGGTGCAGTCCACCCTCCCAGCCCTGGCCAAGACAAAAGGGAATAAGGTGAATGTAGGGGTGAAGTATGCAGAGAAGCAGGAACAGAAATTTGAGCCAGAGAAGCTAAGAGAAGGGCAGAACATCATCGGGCTACAGATGGGCACCAACAGATTTGCTAGCCAGCAGGGCATGACGGCCTATGGCACCCCGTGCCACCTCTGTGACCCCAAGCTGGGCAAGGACCAGCCCCTGGACCAGGCCACCATCAGCCGGCAGATAGGCACCAACAAGGGAGCCAGCCAGGCTGACCTGACTGTACCTGGGACCAAGCAACAGATCTTTAAGCCTGGGCTGGGCATGGAGCACTGTGACATGCTCAATGTCTGCCTGCAGATGGGCAGCAACAAGGGGGCCTGGCAGCAGGGCATGACAGTGTATGGGCTGCTGTGCCAGGTCTGTGACCCCAAAAACTGCCCAAGGCCTGAATACTCAGAGCTGGGCAAGCCTGCCCATGACCACCACCCACACAACTGCTACAACTCAACCTGGGGCCCTGGGCCCCCCCACCCTGCCTCCCCTCCAGGGAGGCCAGCTGCTGCTCTCAGCAGGGGTGAGCCGGTCCCACCAACCCCCTCCCCCTGCATGGTGTCCTCTAACCCCCTGGGACCCGCCTACAGGGTTAGCACTGGGGGGGGCAGACTGGGGAGCCTGTGGTGGGGGAAGGGGGCCTTCCTCCTTGGAGCGCTGCAGCATCCAACATTGAGTAGGGTGTTCCCAACAGCACCCAAAGGGCGCACTGAGCAAAGCTACCCCTAGCTGTCCCCTGACTCCCTTACAGGTGGATCCCCCCAGGACAGGAAGTTCCCCCCCAAGCAGAACCCCCAGAGCCCAGGCTTGGCCTGCCCCCTCCCCATTCCTGCAGTGGAAGCAAACTGCATGCCCAGAGGACCAGCGGACACATGTGGTTTGGTTTGCAGCAACTGGCATATGTGGATGGGACAGTGGCGTTTGTAATGCGAGCACTTTCCTTTTTCTCTTTCACTGGAGCACAAAAAATGGCTGTAAAATAAAAACAAAATAAAAAATAAAAGTTATAGAACACAGACTTCCCATTAAAATGAACAACAATAAAGAACCCCCCCCCAAATGAACAACAAAATAGGATCAAGGTCAAATGCTGTACAAAATTATTAAGACATGTTAAAAATGAAAGACTGGGGGCGCCTGGGTGGCTCAGTCGGTTAAGCATCTGCCTTCCGCTCAGGTCATGATCCCAGGGTCCTGGGATCCAGCCCCTGAATCGAGCTTCCTGCTCTGCAGGGAGCCTGCTTCTCCCTCTGCCTCTGCCTCTCTCTCTCTGCCTCTCATGAATAAATAAATAAAATCTTTAAAAAAAATGAAAGACTGACTTAATGTTGTATACAACGAATAGCAAAGGTTTACGGTTAGATATTTTTATCTACACAACATTACGTATAACTAGGTATTTAATAGGCATACTGTATAGCATATTCTGGTGAAAAAATCATTAAAAACAATTTCTTACTGATCCTCTCCCTACCCCCCGCTGCTGACCCTGTCGCGTTGAATGGGACTGTGTTGTTACAGGTCTCCGTGTCATTCGAGGATGTGACTGTGGACTTCAGCAGGGAGGAGTGGCAGCACTTGGACCCTGCTCAGAGACGCCTGTACCAGGATGTGATGCTGGAGAACTACAGCCACCTGCTCTCAGTGGGTAAGCCCAGCCCTTCGGAGGAACTACGAGGAGCATGTTATGGGTAAAACTGTATCCTCCAAGTAAACTATGTTGAAGTCCTAACCTCAGTTAGGACTAAGCACCTCGGGATATGCTCTTTTTTGGAACTGGGGTCTTTACAGAAGTAATCAAGCTTAAACGGGGTCTTTTGGGTGGGTCTGAATCCAGTATGACCGGTGTACTTAAGGGAAATCTAGACACAGAGACAGACACACAAATACAGGAAAGACAGTGTGAAGATACATAAGGAAAAGAAGATGGCCACGTCACTGGAGTGGTGCATCTATAAGGCGACACATGCCCGAGGCCACCAGGAGGTCAGAGAGAAGCATGGACGAGTTCCTTCCCGTTTTGAAGGTTCTCCTTCAAAAGGAGCATGGCCCTACTGACACCTTGATATTGGACTTCTAGCTTCCAGAACTGTGACTCAGTGAATGTCTGTTGTTTTGAGCTGCCCAGCTTGTGGTACTTTGTTATAGCAGCCCTAGGAAACTAAGATAGATTTTTGTAATATGGAAGCGGCTTTGGAATTGAACAATGAGTAGAGGCTGGAAAGGTTTTAGGTGCTTGATAGAGAAAGCCTAGATTGCCTTGAAGAGATTCACTGGTAGAAATACGGACGTTAAGGGGGCTTTGGGTGAGGTCTCGGAGTGAGGAGTGTGTTACTGGAAACTGGAGGAAAGGAGATCCTTGTTACCAAGTAGCAGAGAACTTGAATGAACTGTGTTCTGTTGGGTGAAAAGCAGAAAGCGTAAGTGATAAACCTGGATAGTTAGCTGTGGAAATTTCTAAGCAAAAGCGTTAGAGGCATGGCCTGTGCTCTCCTTGCTGCTTACAGTAAAATGTAGGAGGAAAGAGAGACATTGGAGAGGAATTGTTAGTAAGAGAAGAAGCAGAACTTGAAGATTTGGAAAATGCTCAGCCTGTCCATAGTGCAAAAACTGAGATGGACTCCGGAAAGAGCACCAAAGGTGTGGACAGCCAGTTGCTAAAGAGATCAGAAGTATGACCTGTGGATCCCATCAGCCATGTCAGTGGAAATGCTGCTAGCTTCGACCAAAGAGGACAGAGACAGGAAACAATGAGGGAAGGCTGTAGTGTGTCTGTTCAGCTGTGCACGTGCATTAGCCTTCTGGAAGGGGGATGAATGATTCCAAGGATGGTTCTGAGGCCAAGATGGCTGCTGCTGCCACCACAGGCCCAGAGGGCCCAGGCTGGGAAAACGGGATGTGACAGACTATCACCTCCTCAGTTCCAGAGGGCAAGCCACCGACTTGGTTACCGGACTGAAGGGGCAGAGCCGCCACCCAGGGTCAAGGGTGTGGAGTTGCCACATCTCATCTGAGGTCACACTTCCTAACAGCATCATGCTCTCTCAAATTCGCTCTGCAAAGTGCTTTTCAACATTCCCTTCCAGTACTTGTTGACAATTGAGTTTGTGCCATTAGTTAGCCTTCGAAGGAGCTTGCCACCCACTTTGGATTACATCCCCGAGCAGCACAACTCCGGGAAGACTCAGGCTCAGTGCTCCAGGGGCTGCTACTGACCTCACACCATCTGCAGGCTGGAGCTTGATCAGAAGGACTTGGGCCCCCTCTGAGTGGGTCTCTACCACTTGCCATATTTCTTGTGTCCCACCACTGTGTGAGGACTCAGCACTGGGCTCTTCCGTGTTCACTGACCATTACCGAAGTAGTCCTTGTTAAGTTTCCTTTCTTCCACCGATGAATATGCTTAAATTCAGTGAGCAAGTAAACTGAGACCCAGTAGCAAGCCAAAAGCTGTTTCTCAACAGGAGAACAGTTATCCCCAGAGGATGGTAGGGCTTTGCTCCCAAATCTCAAGATGTGCTCTGTGGTTCACCTATAGGGGCCTGTCAAAGGCTCCATCCCCATCTGCCACTGACACTTCAAGCACCACTGGATCGGCCAGATCATATGGCCCCAGTAGCAGCTTGGCACTCTGGACCTTTGCAGAGCCTTCTTTTGTTCCAGGCTCTGCTCAAAACTAGCAGTTTTTTGGATCACATGGTAAATGGGGCAGAATAACACACCCAGCTGAGGAATATATTGCCTCTGAAGTCCATAGAGGCTCAGTAGCCATTGTCCCTCTTTTTACTTGTAGGAAGAGCCAGAGGCAAAAACTTATTCTTCACTTAGCAATTTCTAGGGGTCCAGTGGGTCCATATCGCTCTACCCCTAGAAATTTCCCTGAGGTAGATGGCCCGTAAATTGTGGTCAGATTTATTTCCTACCCTCTGCCGTATAAATATCTTACAGTAAGTCAAGAGTGGTTACTACTCCTCATTCATCAGGTGCAGTCAGTGTAATGTCATCAGTGTAATGGACCAACGTGATATCTTGTGGAAGGGAAAGTCAATCAGGATCCCTACAGACTAAATTATGATGTAGGGCTGCAGGGCTGATACACCTCTGAGGTAGGACAGTGAAGGTATATATATAGTTGGCCTTGTCAACTGAAAGCAAACTGCTTCTAGTAGTCTTTGATAACAGGTATTGCAAAAACAAAACAAAACCAAAAACAAACAAACAAAAAAACCAAAAAGCATAAAACAAACCCACACACTTGCCAGATCAATAGCTGTTCACCAGGTACCAAGGGATGTGTTAGCTTGTTTAAGCAATGAACCCACATCTGGCACAGCAGCTGCTATTGGAGTTACCACCTGGTTAAGTTCGTGATGATCCACAGTCATTCTCCAAGATCTGTTTGTCCTCTGCACAGGCCAGAGAGGCGAGTCGAATGGGAATGTGGTGGGACTCACTACCCCTGCATCCTTCAGGTTCTTGGTGGTGGCATTGATCTCTGCAATTCCTACAGGAATGCAGTATTTCTTTTGGCTTACTGTTTTCCTAGTAGAGGCAGTTCTAGTGGCTTCCACTTGGCCCTTCTCACCATAATAGTCCTCACTCCACAGGTCAGGGAACCAGTGTGGGTATTCTGCCAGTTGCTGAGTATCTGTATTCTAATTCTGCATTCCTGAACCTGGGAAATAACCACAGGATGGATTGGGGGGCCTGCTGGGCCCCCTGTGAGATGGAGCTAAGCTGAAAACTCAGTTGATGACTTCACTCTCATTAGCCCCTGTGCTGTCTGGCGGGCCACGGTGACATCTTGGGTCTCCTGGAATTCGTGTCAGTTCAGAACTGGTCTCCAGTAATCTCGGAAAAGCCTCATTATGTCCTTTCCCTCCCTGACAAAGGGCTGGAAATCCCTTTAGGGAAGAGAAAGATTAGCAGTATACATTTTGACAGTGTAGTGGGGTCCTTCCTCAAGGGACCCGGGCTCCCCTTCATTCAAAGGGTTCTGGGTCTGTAAACTGGCTCAAGTCTGAAAAATGATTGAAGGAGCTGAGACTCTGTGTTTCATGTTAGACTTCTGTTCACTTGACCTAGAACTCCTCTCTTAATGCAGATCAATTAAGAATTTAATAGACAGCTCATCTGTTTCTTTTCTAGAGACACCATGATCAACTGGCCAACACCATGGGTCTCTGCAGGTCAGACTATTCTGATCACTGGTTTGACCCTGCTGTCCATTATAGTAACCGTGTCTACCTTGCATTTAGCAATCCACTGCCCCCATTTGCCCCCTGTCACCCCAGGATCCAGCTGCTCCCATGGCATTGGGGTTTCCCGATTTGTGTCCTACAGAGAAGAGCAGTCACAGAGCTCTTCAAGAATACCGCCCCCCTCACAAATTTGCATGTCCCAGTCATGGTGACAAGAGTGTCCTCTGGACAGCGTGGGAGAGCATGTCTTATATGCTAAATCCACTCTAACATGCCAGTCTCCCCAAGCCCTTGGATGCCTTTCTCTGTAGTATATAGCACTTCTCCATTTCAATTGCATTTTATATAAGCCACGTTTTGATACATGTTTCAGCCAACCAAACAAAATGTTTGAGCCCTTTCTAACCCCTCAAGCAGCAACATTGAATTCAGAATCTGCGTAGTGTGCACATACCAACACATTTGGCCTGATGGATCCAACTTTATGTCCTTTCCATTATCCCACACTCTTAAATTTATCTATTTGCACCTGGGTTTCCCAGCTTTCTGTCTGCATAAGTTGGACAAATAATGCAGATCTCTTGCACCTCCTCGTGGATTGCACTATACCTCCCATTTTGGGCCCTGATGAGACTTGAGTCTAGTTCTAGGTCTAGAAGCAAATAAGGGTAGTGGGGGTATGTCGTGAGAGAAATCAGCAGTACCTTGCAAGGCAAGTACCTCAGGGGAGGTCATTGTGGGGTCCTCAGGCAAAGTAGGGTTAGTCTTCTCAGACGAGGGTAGAAGGGCTGCTTCTACTCGGAAAGAAGACTCTTCAGATCTTAGAAGTTCAGTGTCCTCATATATGTCCATTCCAAATTTCTGGATCCCATTCCTTTTCAGTCAATTCCCTTACCTTAATAGCAGACACCTGTAAGGTTGGGAATTCAATTTGTGTTGTAATGTGGCCACTCCCAGGATGAGACTCTGGGTTTGATTTCCAGCAATATCAGCTCTGTAGCTACAGAGGTTAGGGGTTTCTTTCAGGACAGACATAGAAGTTTTCAGGTCGTTTATGCAGCGCTTGAGCTGGGAAATCAAATCCGTGAGTTCATCTTTCCCCCTGCTCCACTTTGTCCAGCACAACTAGGAGCAACCCAGCAATCTTACTATGTTGTAAGTTTGACAAAAATTTCTAAGGTGTCAAATACAAGGTCACCCAGAACCATACCTCTCACAAGCATTTGATTAGGAGTATCCAGTGGTGATATTTTGCATATCTCTTTTGCCACATCACCCCATGGACTCTCAGTGTGCTCTAGAGTCATTAGTGCCTTCAGATCTAATCAGAGTAGGGAACCAATTCTAGAAACCCCATAACCTGTTCAGAAAACTCATTCTTAGTATTCTGTTCCACTTTCAAAATCTGTGTTATGGTTCTCCAGAGAAATGGAATCAATAAGATATGGGTATATACATATACAGAGTACACACACACACACACACACACACACACACACTATAAACACACCTACCTAGAGAAAGACAGAGAGACAGAGAGAATGAATACATATACACAGAGTCCGGGGAAGAGATTTATTTTAAGGAACTGGCTCGCCTGATTGCAGGGACTGACATGTCTGAAATTTAAAGGGCAGGCCTGCAGGCTAGAAATTCGAGTGAGGTGATGTTGTAATCCTAAATTCGAAATCTGCGGGACAGGCCAGTAGACTGCAGAACCATTCCTTGTTCTCTTTGCCCGCAGCGAACACAACAGATTGTGGTTCTTTACCTGGTGGGGTGACCCAAAACATCATTCTTTTTTTTTAAAGATTTTATTTATTTATTTGAGAGAGAGAGCGTGTGTGTGTGCATGCACGCGCACGTGCGTATGCGCAAGAGGGTGGGAGGAACAGAGGGAGAGGGAGAAGCAGGCTCCCTGCTGAGCAGAGAGCCCAATGCGGGGCTCAATCCCAGGACCCCGGGATCATCACCTGAGCCGATGGCAGATGCTTAACTGACTGAGCCACCCAGGCACCACCCCCAC